TAAAAATTCAGGTCTATGTATACTTGCTATAAATGAAGAATTGGATATTGAAATGTAAAAGTTATGTAGGAGTACAAAGGACCTAGAAAAGTAAAAAGAAAATGAAAAAAAAAGTGTTGGAAGACATTTATTACCTAATTTTAAGACTTCCTCTAAAGCTACAGTAATCAAGGTAGTGTTGGCATAAGGAAAGACATATAGATCATTGGAATAAAACAGAGAATCTAGAAATAGAATGACATATGTATGGTCCACTGAATTTTGAAAGATTATTTAACAGTAACATTTTATAGAACATAAACTCAATTCAGGAGCAGAGGAAGAGATAGTGTTCTCAGCAAATGGCACTAGAACACCTGGTATCTGTGTATAAAAAATTAACCTCAACCCTTTATTTCCATACATAACAATAACTTGAAAGGATCTATGAACCTAAATATGAAAGACTAAAACTATAAAACTTTAAGAAGAAATGATAAGGGAAAATGTTTATGAATTTAGGGTAGGTAAGAATTTCCTAGGATATAAAAAACATGATATATAAAAGAAAGAAATTGATTAATGAGATTCCATAAAAATTTAGAACTTTATGGGCCGGGGATTTAGCTCAGTGGTTCTGGCACCTGCCTCGCAAGCACAAGGTCCTGAGTTTGATCCCTGGTACAAAAAAAATTTAGAACTTTAAATGACATTGTCAAGAAAATGAAAAGTAGTCCTTAAACAGACCATATTTATAATAGATATAACCTATGACCAGAATACATAAAGCACTCTTAGAGCTCATTAATAGACAACCCAATTAAAAAGTAGACACAAGATGATAAATAGCCAGTACAGCACAAGGAAAGCTGTGTAACACTAGAATCAGAAAAATACTAATCAGTACAATAACAAGATCGTATTATACACTCATTAGGGAGATGAAGTTAAAAGTTTTAGAAAAACAAATATCAGCTTAGGTGTGAACCATTTGGAACTTTCTAATACTGCTAATGTGAATGTAAAATGATAAAACCATTTTGGAAAACAATATAGAAATTTCTTATATTACTGTTAAGAACCAGCAGTCCTGTTCTTAAGTTTTTGCTTTAAAGGAATGAAAACACATGTTCACAATAGATTTGTACATACAAGTTGAATATCCCTTATCTGAAATTCTTGGGATGAGAGTGTTTCAGATTTTTATTTGAAATCCACTTGATCTGCCAAGAGGAGAGCTACTCCTGCTTTTTTGGGGGGGTTCCTGTCACATGGAGTATTGTTTTCCACCCTTTAACTTTCAGACTATGAGTTTGTTTTTGAATTAAGTGTATTTCTTGTATGCAGCATATTGTTGGAT